GTGTGCTGCCGGCTGACGCTGCGGCGCCGCGCCCGCTGCTGTATCCCTTGACGCAAAGTATTTGGCTCCATCGGACCTTGCTCGAGTGGTTCGATGGCTTGTTTCTCATTGGGGGTATCAGCGGGCACGATTTCCTGCTTTGCCGCAATGCCGTGTTCGGCGGGGGCGGAGGTGCAGTGCGGCGCTCACCCTTCTTCGCGGTCTATCTCCATTTCGTGCTGGTGGAATCACTGCTGGATACGGCTTGGATGGCCGGCTTCTTTGGAGCTCCGTCGGCCGTGCGGCTGCGGCTCAGTGGCCGCGCCGTGGATCGCAGCCTGGCGCTACAGCTCGCTTGCCAGCAGCTGTTCCCCGTGCTGCGGCAAGCGTTCGAGGAACGTTGGGTGAGTACGCATGCTGCCTGGTGTGGTCCTGCTTGCGCCTCTAGCATTCTGGTCGATGGCAATGAGAAGCTCGTCCCGCATGGGTGCTGCTTCGCCGAACGCGGTCTCGATGGGCGAACCGCCTTCTGTTTGCGAGCCCCGCGCCGCGGGCACATCACCTGTGGTATTGCAGAGCATCGTGCGCAGGAGGAGCATTTGCTGCAGGTCCATGCGGCCCGCTTGCGCGACCGCCGGCGGCAGAGGTGCGGCTTGTTTTCGTCGCTTTTGTTCCTTGTCGTCTTTTGGTCCGCAGGACTACACGCACACACCCTGGTTGTGGCAGGTGGCAGCCGCGTGCAGCGCGGACTCCGCCTGCACAAGTGTGGGCACCAGAGGCGGGTGACTGCAACACCTGCAAGGCCCGCAGCGTCCGCGCCTACCAGCGTGGCGGCATCCTTTGTGCGACCTTCGGCTGTGGCGTTGTCATGCCTCCGCAGCGCTTCCATGTGGCTGAATCTTTGCCGCAGGTGGCAGCCTACGTGGAGCACCTGCTGCGGATCAATCCAGCCCTGCGCACCATTGGCTATGATGACTGGTGCCATTTGGCGCCGCATTTGCGGTCCTATGGGAGCGTGGCTGCTGCGCGCTTGCAGGGGTATGTGGATCGTTGGCACGCGCGGGGGCATCGCCGCCCACAGTGCTGGTCGACCTACAGCCCGGATCGCTACAAGGTCATGTACGACTGGGAAGAGCATACAGTTTTTTCGTCGGCGACTTTGCAGGGGCTTGTGGCTAGCTTGGTGCATGGGCGCCAGCGCTGGGAACTACATTCCTGGTCCGGGTGCATCTGGGGGTCCGCGCGGCCAACCGTGCGTTTGCACGCGCTGCTGACGTACACTCTACCTTTGGTCCTGACCTTTCTCAGCCCTCAACCCGCAGGTCGCGTGCTCCGCGAAGCGCGCGTGCGATCCGAAGGTGGCCGCACGCGGGTGGTGGAGGCGTTGCGACGCTTGTCCGTGGAGCTGCAACAACCTCTTCGTGGGTCTGGCTGGGATGTGGACGCTGGCTTCCAGCTTGTGGGCGTCGCTTCTCCTACCACCGGTGCCCTTGTCGGGGGTTTCCCACAGAACTTTTTGCGATCCCACTTGGCCGCCGTGACCCAATTTCCGCTGCGGATTTTGCTACGCAGGCGCGGCGTCGGCCTGGGGTCGGGGGGCGCGGCATCGGTCTGGGGTCGGGGGGCGCGAGCGCGGGGCGCTGCCTCGGCCATGCACGCAGGCCAGTGGACACCTCCCTCAAAGAGCGGCAATGGCGGGATCTGAACCGTCTTGGCCGCTCCTTGCGGTACTGCAGCCCCGCCACATTCGATGTGCTTTTGCTGCGGGCATTGAACGAGCGAAACTGGCAGGCACCGCCACGCGCGTCGAGTCTCGCGACCGCGTCTCGGTTTTCGTCGCTGGTTCCCAGTGCGGCAGGTGGCGCAACGACGAGAGCATGCGTGAGGTGCTGCTGGCTGCGCTGAGGGACTCTAAGTCAATCTGGCCCCCCGCAGACCGACCGCATCGGATTGGCTTTTTCCGGTCGCTTTCGGGCGATTTCATGCCTGTGTTTTTCTTTCTGTGTTTCTGCAGCCATCTGCTTGCATTGACGCGACTTCCCTGTCCTTCGGTTTGCACTCTGCACCATGGCCGCCCAAACCCCGATTCAGAAGAAAATGGAGGCCAGCGCTGACTTCGTGCGGACGTCTTGGGACAGCACACTTTTCCTGGGTCCTGAGGCGGGTCCGTGGCGCACGACCGAGGTATTCCCGCAAGTGCACCACTGCGTGTCGCTGTGTCGCGGTCGCCCCCGCTAGACTCCTCCAGGTCGCACAGGCCATGGAGTACGAGGCCCTGTTCAACACCCTGCACTGTTTGCCAACAACGTTGGCGCATGAGACCCTCGGTCTGCATGCCATGAATGCCGT